ATCCAATTCCTCATCTCAGAATGTCGGTTTGGTCGCTCGGCAGAGATCAGAGTACCTTGATAGGTAGACAGGGCAAGAAACCAACAAAGAATGCACATTGGTCTGAATGTGACCTTTCCCCGCCCATTAGTCAGCGTGGAGAATGCCTTTGATGTATGAGCGTGTGTTGTTATTATTGTTCTACTTATTTGGGTTGTACCATTTACATTTTTAGTCAACTTTCTGATTGCTATCCATCACGAAGACGTAGACCTATGACGTGCCAATGCCAACTTTTATAATAGGGGCATTTTCAGGGAAAAATCTTGGGAATGAGCTGAGTATAAACTTTGATTACCAGGCTTTCTCACGATTGCCTTTCTCGAGTGTTTCCGCAGCACCTATCCCCTTGCTCCCTGCGCAGTTTACATACCTTTCCTGGTGTTTCCCAGCTCACTGAATTCATGCCATAAAAAGCGGACAGAATGACCTCAATTGAATTCATAGCACAGATTGATTAGCGCGCTTAATCGGTAGAAAAAAAGCAAGAATAGCCTCTGAATGACCTTTTACTTCCGAAAAATGTGATGGATTACTGCCTAGCGATTTTTTTTGTTGGGATTACGTAAGGAAAGGTATCTGGGCTGACGACCTTGAAGCTTGGAGGTTTTCATGGCACAAAGGAAATGGCTGCAGTTAGTGAGATCGCGCTGTTCGAATCTGGAGAAGGACAACGCTCATCGACGGACATCTCCTTTCTGGGCTACGCCATGCCTCTGAAACTGTGGTGGAATTTGAAGCCGTCACGAGCCGGAGCCATGACAATTGGCGATTGTAACAATGGCTTGATTTAGTTTGTGCACGGTTTTTTCCCTGAAAGCCACTGCCGAGCTGCCAACCGTAAAGAGGATAGGGGTATGTACACGGCTCAATAAACATGGGAAAAATTCCGATCCATTGTTCGACTTTCTGGCCAGGTCTTCTTGCCACTGCTCCACTTCTGCGTCTTTTGAAAACCAGGACAGAGCAGGAGGAATCTTTCCCGAAATCTACAGCTTCTACTCGGTCTACTTGCAAACCAGCCCAGGTGAACGGGGCGCTTCATTGTTTCATGGGGAGCCCGGATAATTGAGTTTTTCTAGTAGTTTATGGGGTTGAAGTTGGTCGATTGCACCAACAGCGCTTCCTTCCACTCAGTCAACATGTTACCGTAATCGCGGTGAGGAACCCGTTACACACCTGTTCTCGACCTTGGGATTTGTGATGTAGTTCACATCGGTGGTGACGTAACGAGGTGCAACGTCGGTTTGACGGAACACATCTCCGAGACCCTGAAATGATTGAAAACGTTGGACTCTTGCATGTATTCGTCTTCAGTAAGGACCTACCTTGACAGCATCTTCGACTATTTGCACGTGTTCCGGACTCGTTGGCTTACTGTAGTCGGTTGAGTACTGTAGTGGTTCGCCGTCGTAGTCAATTACTCGGACTACTATGGGCACCTGAATGACAAGAAGTATGCGCTTCATCACACCCAGGGTTCAAAACAAAAGGGTGCGAAGCGTCAGTCGCCGCCGCGCGTGACCTCACTGTGCTGGATTATGCGGGCGATTTCATCGATTTGTCGCGCACGGTGGCCAAGGTGTAACTGAGAGAGGTGCCTACACACCCAGGATAAGGCACGGGTTACCTCGTGAAACTACAGCCGTTTTCTTCGCTGTTGCTAGGGCGTGTCAAGGGAGAGGGGATGAATTTGGCTCGGCACCAGTTTGTTCTACACCACCTGTTGAAGCGGGCAAGTGCCAACAATTGATGGAAAATGGGCTGGCGTCGCACCGAACCCAACCCCCTGACACGCCCAGCACAGCGAAAATGACTTCAGGGTACAGCAGAGGTTGTTGGGTTGGAGTTGGACACCCCATCAGTGTTGAGTAAAAAACTTTCGAAATATATAGCACAATCTCGTCGTACAGCTCACTCCAGCAAAATTTCCCATATTGGCTACCCGTCTCTACTCCAGGCAGCTCTCGAGCAGTTCTAGAAGGCTTCCAAACTCTAGATGGCTGAACTTACCGATGTAACTGCCACGCATTTGTCATTGGGGGTCGATCGAGATTCTCCTGGTCGACATCCGCATTTTGATCCACCGATGCAAACCTGGATATTAATCAAATGACCAGAAAAATTGGCAGGACGAAAGATATAATAGAAAAGGGAAAATCAAGCGAAAGCTCGAGTTTTTGGGGCGCAAGGTAGGGAGGGCACGTGGGTGTGCACTTACCCACGTCATGTCTTCTCGTTACTCTTCCTTACCGAAATGGTGTAGAATTCAGACAAACGTAATTTTCCTATGCCCAATCGATTTTTCGGGAGGAAATAAGCCGGAAAATAGCTTCAAAACTACTTCTAGCTCTATATAGGTGATAGGACGCAGACGAGCAGATATAACGTAGCCGCGCGTCCCCCCCTCGCAATCACCTTTATCCCGAACTTTGTGTCATTCCTTTTTTGGAATTAGGAGGGAAAGGAAAAGAGTTGAGGTCAGGGTAGTTGCAGAGAAGTCGACCTAGAGGGTCAGGAAAATGGAAAATCGGTGGCCGTTTTGAGTGGATTAAGTGGGGGAAAAAGAGGACAATAATGAACTATAGGACTCGGGAATCGGAAGAAGGAATCTTTCCATTCTTCGTACACGACGCACTTGACGTCATCTCTTTTCAAACTTTTCGATCTTAATTACTCAAAATTGAATAAACTGACCTCATGCAGATCGACTTTACAGAAGGTATTTCCACACGGGACCAAATTGGGCGATATCGTCGTCTTTTCGACTTGTTGTGGTTGATCGATGACGAGACCTAATTCTTAATATGTCAGCTGTTTTAATCGTTTATCAAAGAACTCTTGGTGACGGAGCAACCGTTTCCTATTGGTCTCCTGTGAATACATATTCCGTGATGAGCAGATAGGCGGGGACTTACAACCATTGCGCTCGTCTTATTGACGCGTTCCCCTTTTCATTCTATTGGAAAAGAGGGACGCACTCAGAAGTAAAGTACAGCCATGATCCCTGCAAGTGATAGGGCGTGTTACAAGGCGTGAACTGGAGCGCAGCCAAGGCAGCCTTTCACGAGAATTATTGCGGGCTCACGATGGCATCATTGGTGGAGAAGGCCGCTGTGGTAGCGCTTCAATCCACTCCCGTCACACGCTCTATCGTTTGCAGCGATCACGACTGCACAGTGGTTGTGAGTCTCCACCCACTCAGTTATCGCGGAAAAAGTCATTGCTAAGACCTCCAGTAATGACCGCAGAGCTCGCTCAAAGCAAAGTACCTTTTGAAACCTATCGTCTGTAGTATGAAAAAACTTCCTCGACAGAACAATACTCACCAATACAGACCCTGCCGGTCTTGAGAGGATCAGTGTTTTCGTCGAAGAATCCGAGTTTACATTGGCAGACAAATCCATCATCGGTGTCGATACAGTCGGCATTCTTATCACAGTCGTTCAATTTTGGATCAGCACATTCGTTGTATCTTCAATTAATATTTTAAAGCTATATTTTCAGGATATTTTACTGTACATTCCATAAATACCAAATAAACTCCTCTTTCTTGCAGAGGGTGAGAAGTTTCGCTGGGGCAGGCGGTCATAGCCAACGTCATTAGTGGAAGGGCTGCGAGAAAGCGTTTGGCCACGACGCCCACAGAGCCCTTCCACCAATGAGAGGGCCATGACCGCCCGCCCCCAGCCATCGTAAACACTGCCTTCGAGTTGCTCAACAACAGCGCTAAGTTTCAAAATTGTAACCGCGAAATCCTCTCCCTTTGTTGTCTCACCTGCAAACTCGTCCTGGGCTCTGTGGCATTTGGTCCTCATATGGCGCTTTGCACTTGCACTCGTACCCATCAATAGTGTCAATACATTCGGCTCGTTTGTCACAGTCGTTCAAATTCTCCGCCAGGCATTCGTTGATAACTTAAATACGAAAAATTTACAGGTGTTTTCGTGAGCACATTGTATCCGTGTTCTCCCGCGGAAGAAGATAATCTGGCGCGAGGCGCCTTTTCAAATTCTCTACTGGCCGGCAGCACAAAGTCCCTTCCCCGACCCTTATTTAATGGACTTACTGAATTTGCAGTTAGTTCCTGGGTTGCTTGGATTCTGATCATGATAGTCCGGTTTGCAC